ATTTCTTTATATACAATATTTTTTGATAGATATAGGTTGTTTAATAGGCATTTGGTTTTCTTAATACAGTTGCTGTTTGTAACACTGGCATTTGTTTTTGTTGCACCAAGTTTGTTGGTTGTGTATATTAATAATGAATCTAATATTTGGGATACAACTGAAATTAATTTTAATTGCATTTCTATTTGATACTTTATTTTTAACTAATAATATTAAAAGAGTCTAAATACTGGTAATAAAGATTTTTTTTAATTAAATTCTGGTTTTGCTAATTCATTTTCATAAATGAGATAACTTTAAAAATGTGTTGGTAATGCATTATGGAACATGCAAGAGAAAAAATGTCCTATTTATATTGATGGTAAATAAAATGTCTGAATCAGAAAGAGATTGGTAGCTGTTTAAACAAGTCTAACACAAAAAAACAAAAAAAAGCAAATGGTAAAATCGTAAAATTTTTTGTTTACTTCAATCATGGTCTGCTCTATCAAAATTTTGTTTGATTGCTCTTAAAATTTGCAATGCTTGTCTGATCACCAATCTTAGAAGCAACTGTGAAATGCTCAAAAAGGTTCAACATCATGTAACCAACCTAATTTTGTCAGTTAGCATCATATCATTTGAGGACAAATAAATTCCACTCATTTACAATTCAATAAAATTAATGAGAGGAATTTGATGCAATCAAATCATTTCAGTGTCAACAATTAATAGGTTCAAAGTAAAACTTTTTTTGAATTGTTGAATGAGCAACAAAAAAACAACACTGATTGAATCAACCAATTGCATCATTTTAATATTATTAATACTAAATGTTATAAAATTTAATATTTAATTTTCTTTTTTTTTTTTTCATATTTTACTCGACAAAATTCAAAACATTTATTGACATTTTAAAGTCACATTTAGCACCATCCACCATCACTTTTAGCACCATTCGCTATTACTTTCAGTTTAGAGGCTATATCAAATCATGTCATTTTCTGTCTCCATTGGAACTGATATTTTGCCCTCCATTGACATGCATTCTAATTGTGATACTGTAACAAACTTCTTTTCATTCAAAAACTTTTTTATTAACCTGAGTTCCACTCATTTTTACAAAAAATTTTCATCAATTTTTATAAAATAACTACCCACAAAAATTTGACATTACAAAATTCGCTAAATATTTAATTACAATTAAATAATTAAGAACTGTTGATAAAAAGAAACTACATAATTGTCATAGAATGTTCTTGAACACTCTTCTCCAAATTTACACTCCTCTTTGGTATCTTACAAATAACAATCGTTGTATTTTTGGGGTATGCGTCGTTCTCAAGTACTTCGTGGTAAAGACACTTGTGTTTCTTGGAATCCATTTTCAGCTTCACCATTTGTTTGTAGTACGTCTTCTTGACTTGTCTCCACTTTTACTTGGCTCAATATGGTTTTCTACATTATCACAACCACTGTCTGTGTTCATTTCTTATTCTACTTTAGGAATATCGAATAATGTTTGAGTGTCATTTTGAAATCGGATATGTTTTACATGATGTAGAATGCCATTAACTTCTTCAACTTATTTCTAAATGTTTCTAGTTAGTTTTGCTGGCTGCCACTTAGTATAGTATTTTTCATTTGGTGGTTTTGACTACATGTTATCACCATTTTAAAATGTTTTGTTTATGTCAGCTTTTTCCAGAAGATTATCATTTCTCAATCCTTTCATGTTAATTTGATACCTGTATTTTTTATCCATCAGGCTTGCATTCTTTTTGTTGGCTGAGACTAATATACTGCTTCCGGTATTGACATTTTTCGATCTTTCTGCAATTCTCTTAATTGTACGGTAGTTTCTTTTCACAATTCCATTTCCTTCGGGAGATTATTCTCCCGAAGGAAAGCTTGAAACCTAATGCTAACTCTTCAGTTTTTAAAGTAGCTTTGTTATCTGTCAAAATTTAGATGGCACTCTTTGCTCACAAAAGATCAGGCGGAGTATTCGAGTAACGGCAATACTTTCGTATGAAAGTTTTTGCCACAATGCATATTCTAAAGGTTCGCATTCAATTAGAATAAGAAATTTTTCTCTGCCCAAGTATGTGATATCCATGGCCACTCTTTCCCAATTTTCTTTAGCACTTAATTATCCCTTCACCCATTGTACAGGTACTGGATCTATTGACTGACATGGTTTGCAATTTTTAATTACTGCTCGAATGTCATTTTTGCTAAAATCAATGGTCAATCCACACATCGCCTTCGTCACCATGTACAGCTCAATTACCATAAGCTGGATCACACTTTCCTACCTCATCATAAACTTCTTGAAGTAAAATTTTCATTGCAAACTTCATTGTCCCAACCATTCATCAAAATAGCAACTCTTCTTTTCAAAAGACTACAAACTACGTGTAACCAACCACAGACTGTCAAGTGACCTACTAACTGTCTACAAATAGGTAACAATACCCTTCTATTTAACTTTTTTTGAATTGCATTAACTCGATTTTCTCTGGACCATATTAACTTGCCACCAATTTTGTACACATGTAATCCCAATATACGAACCCCATTACATCCAATCTGTTCACCTTCTGCAACATTCAATCCAAACCAAGTTGTGTTAAACAATACTTTTTATTTCAAAATACCAATGTTTGGAAGGCCAAAGAGATTCCTCAGTTTTTAACTGGAAATAAGCCTTGCGTAAATCAATAACTGCTGGTTTGTTTCCCATTTTTCTCCATTTCCTCAGCTTCTCAACACACATGCCTGTATCTCTTGTATTTGTCTTGATAAAACTTCTCTCCAATCCAAAATGGGTCTGACTTTATTATCTTTATTTCATTGGATAACAGCCATTAAGAAAGTTGGCCCTTTGGGTGGTCCCATCTTATTTTTGTCATATTCAATTAACCCTTTACGATTGATCCAATACCGTAATTCCTTTTCATATTCTGCTCTTGCATATTTTGGTATGGCGCATTGAGCAACTTTGTTAAGTAATTGGTCAGGGCCTTCTCCATCTCTCCATTTCCATTTAACTTTCCATTTGACATAATTAAATATTGTTTCATGATCCTGCTTTTTAATTTCAATTTTATTGACTTTATTTTTGATTGAGACAGCCATTCTACATGAATTGAATTCCAGATGGGGAAATAAAAACTCCTAGCAATTTAATGGAACTCATTCCAAGCATCATATTAACTCCAAATGGTTGAAAATCTACAAAAATAACTTTGCCTCATACTTGGATATAATCAACCTCAATAGTGACAACCGCTGATCCATTACATTGATGAATTTTATTGTCAAAAGTTACAACCTTCGGAGGATTTTGGGGTTTATTTTGATTTCTTGACAACAGTTTTTGATTTATGATTGTCTTTGAACATTCCATGTCTACCATAGCTGTCGCTAACATACCATTAACTTTTAGATGAATAATAGATAATGTGCTGATTCTACCATTGTTCAGGAGCGAGGTAATGCACATTCCTTGCTACCTGCACTTGTTTCCCTGCGCCTTTAAGCATTTTGCAGCAATGTGTCCTTTATCCCCACATTTAAAACATCAAAGCATATTATTCAGAGCCAGTTTCTTTGCAAAGAAAGAGTTTCTTGCAATATGATTTAACCCTTTGCAGTTGTAAAACACCAACAGAACTTTTGTAGCTTGATTTCAAAACACAGCACCAACAGCATCATCTAAGCATACACGGTTCAAAGCAGCTCTTATTTTAGGTAACATGACATCAATTGGATCCATAATGGCTCAAAATCTTGATGATAAATCCTTGGACAATCCAACAACAAACACCAATCATACAGACTCTTCTGACACTTTAGCGAGATAAGCCAATTTTTTCAAGTAGGCCAAAAACACATCAACTTTCTCTCCAACATTTAATTTTTGTTTTACAAAAAGTTTGTATTCTGTATAAGCATCTACAGAAAACCCTGCTAACAAAACATGCAAGACATCTTCTTTGTCTCTCTTGTTTTCATCATTTATAGCATCATTTACTAAATAAGCAGTTTTTCTAAGAAGGATTGGAAAGAGTAACTCTAGTTTTACATTCTGCATTTTTGTGATAACTATTGTTCGTTGTATCCACATGGCAGCGTCCGGAGTTCCATCATATGTTTCAAACATATCCAATAATTTAATACTTGAATCTTTGCCCGTTTAGCTTGTAATTTTCTCTCTCCAAATAAAACTTCTTTTCTTTCAAAAATTTATTTATTAATATTTATTATTTGAATTCCACTCATCTTTACAAAAGTTTACATCAATTTATATAAAATAACTATCCACAAAAATTGACATTACAAAAACCATTAAATATATAATTACTATTAAAATAATTAAAAACTATTAATAAAAAGAAACCACGTAATTGTCATAGAATGTTCTTGAACTTTCTACACCAAATTTACAGATACTACATATATAAAATAAATAATATAATGTATATAATTGCATAGATTTAATACATTTGACAAGCTTCTGTTTTTAGTGTAAAAGCATAAAAAAAAGTGTAAAGTTAATTGTTATTACTTATATTTAAATATTTATTTATTATTTATCTGATTTTATTTACTATTTTTCCGATTTTATTTATTATGCTGTGTGTTATAAACTTTATTTTATACTCTATTTTTTACTCTTTTTTTACTATTTTTTATTTTATACTCTTTATTTTTTACTATATTTACATTCTGATTGTGTTGCATTGACTGTTATATATATATTTTCATTCTATTTACATTATATTTACTTTATTTTTGTGATTATTGTTTGTTTTTTGATTGTGATTTGTTTGTCATTGATTGTGATCATTGATTGTTATTTATTTTTTACTCTATTTACATTCTGATCTATCCAACTAACTGATTATTAATGATTATTTATTTTAAAAAGACAAAAATTGTCCTTTATTTTTTCTCCTTTTTTAAATTGTTGTCATATTTGTAGTTTTTAATTATCAATTTTTCTCTTTTTGCAGCAATATGTTTTTTTGCTTACTTTGGAGTGAGTGGAGTTGTTACTTTAATGGTAAACTACAAAAATCTTGATGAGTCAGCTGCAGTTGCAGATGCTTTTAAACAGAGAGGACTAAACTTCATGAATTATATTATTTCAGCTGGTGCTATTTGTGGACTCTTAGGTAAAAAAATTTAACAAGTTGTTTATTAAATAGTTATGATTTACTGAGATTATAACATATTATATAAATAGACCAGAGAGCTAATAATGTTATAAATCAATAACAGTTACAAATTTTTTAATTTGTTTTTAATAAGGTTAAAAACTATTTATTTATTCTTTGTGACCAGTAAAAATTTAATCAAGATGTTAAATAACATACTGTTAATAAAATAGTATTTGTATTTTGAAAATTTTATTTTATCTAAGTACAAAAAATATCTTTTTTCTTTGATAGAACATAAATAAACAAAAAAGTATACTTTTTATATACATATGTCACAACATTTTTTATGTCTACGGTGACCTTTTTTTTATTGTTTTAAATAGTAAAGTTGAATATTAAGCAAATTTTTAATTAATCTAGAAAACTAAATTGACTTCTTTTGTTGTTTTTGAGGAACCTGTTACTTACCCGTTACTTACACGTTTTTGATTATTCAATTTGCAAGTGAATAATTTCTAGTCATTCAGATTGCCACAACAATGTGTTCTTATTGTATTTTCTTCATTTGATGTTGATAGCTCAGTCTGCTGTTAACAATTAAAACTTAAATACTAATAAACAAAGTATTAAAATTGCTAAAAAAATCCATTATTTTCATCCATCATTTTCAACCACCATTTTCATTTATTTCATTCACCATTTTGTTCCATCATTTTGATCCACCATTTTGGTCCATCATTTTGATCCATCGTTTTGATCCATCATTTTTATCCACCATTTTCATCCACCATTTTTGTTTTCAAGAATTATTAAACTTGTATTAAAAATGAAAAATGATAAATAAAAGTCTTCAAATAAGTCTAAAATTGTCTTCACAATAAGTCTAAAATTGTCTTCAAATAAGTCTAAATTGTTTAAAGTAAAAACTACATCATAGACAGTTTTATTTGTAACTTTTTTTAAAACTGTTTTTATCTTAAATGTATGTTTAGCAATAAGTTGATGTAATATTTTATTTAGCAATAAGTTGATGTAATATTTTATTTATGAAAGAATTAAAAATATCTCTAAAGCAAAAGCTTAAATGTTAAAATCTTTATTTTATTTTGAGTAAAATTCATGTGTTTAAATTAAATTATGTTACCTGAATTTTTTAAACTAATTGAATTTAGGTTGTATATCATTAGAAAAGGCATTAATTCAATGTTTTATAGGTAAAAATGTTATAAAGATCAAACTAAATTCCAAATAAAGTTATGGCATTTTAAGTAATGATTTTTTGATATAAGGATTTATTTTTAAAACTAGTCAAAATAAAATTTTTATTAAATGAAATTATATAACTTTTTTCATTCTTATCTAAATGCTAATAACTTGGTATCAAAAGATAAGTGTAAGAGTAACTTTCAGACTTATAATGGACTCTACCCACAAGGCATCTCTAGGGGTTAGAGGGGTACACAACCATCATCTTTACTGTCAGTAAATACAAATTTTATTCATAAAAGCTCTTTTTTCAAAAATGAAATTGATCATATCCATCTGCAAGAAGTTGATATAATTAGTTCCCAAACCACTTCCAAGTATGAGAGGTTCATCTTTGAGTTAGGGTGGATGTGGAGGTGATGGCTTGACACACCTTATTTGTAAAAATGACTCATTGTTATAAATTTTTATCTTTATTAAAAGCAAAAATAAATATTTATTACTTTATAACATATACCAGCGAAACACACACAACCTCCAACCTAAAGAAATATGAAAAACTCTATTTAAATATGAGATGTAAAAAAATATATAATATGCAACTATTATAAATGATAGACTTTAATACAAAAACACCTTTTATATATTTCAAAATGCATCAGAGTACCTTTTTTTAGGGAAAAGGACAGGTTTCCTGTAGTTTACTCTGAACTAAAAAAAAATTAAAAAGCAAAACATGTTTTGAAATAAAATTTTAAATAATTTTTTTGGCTTTTAGCTAATGATTAAAAATATTAAATTCCATTAATGAAACTATACTTTCTGTACATTTTTTTTAATTTTTTTTTTAAATTGAATTATTAGTTTATTAAATGTTAATATAAATGATTCAAAAAAGAAATAATAATGATTTAAAAAAGGAATATTGACCCATTTTATATCCATCTGCATCTAAACAATGTAAATAATAAAATAGTTTTATAAAGCAATTACACCCCCTCCATTTTTTTCTTCTATAAATAATTCCAGAAAATGGTACCAAAAGTGTGAGTAAAAATGACGGTAGTGTGTATGGTGTGTATGTATAGTGTGTATGCAAAAATTTCAATAAAATTTGGCAGATGCATAGAAAATGTGTAAACTTAAGAAAATAATAAAAAAATAACGATTATATCTTTATGAATATTTATTTAAACATCTGAATGCATGAAATATAACAAAATTTTCAGCATCAATAATATCCACTTATAAAGTTTCTGATTGTAATAAAGAGACACATGCCAATAAAGTTAAATTATACTAGCTCTTTAAAAATATCTATGTTAATATAAAATCCTAAAAAATAATACAACAAAACATGTTTCTTCCTCACTGTCAAAACACAAACTTTTAAAAATGTGGCACAGAGTTTTAGCACAAATATCAGTTTCATAAAACCCCAATTTTGGCATATCTATTTATATCAATAAAATGTTTTAAATAATTAAAAATAAATAAGTTAAAAGAAATTGTATGACTTAATATATATATATATATATATATATATATATATATATATATATATATATATATATATATATATATATATATATATATCGGGGGCTATTCTAGACCGTTTTCTAGAGCATCAACCGTATTTAAAAAAAGGTCCTAAAAATTTAGAACTTTTTTTTTAATAAATTTTTTACTGCAAATGTTGTTTTTTTCACGATAAAACGCTGATATTTGGCAATATTTCTGCTAAATTTCTCCGGGTCTGGTGGGGTACCACCGCCCAAATTTTTTTCTTAGAATAGCACCGCCCAAATTTTTTTCTTAGAATATGTATATATATATATATATATATATATATATATATATATATATATATATATATATATATATATATATATATATATATATATATATATATATATATATATATCGTTTTCAATGGTATATATATTAAAAACAATTTAAGTATATATTTTTTGTTTTTAACTTATTTTTAAGTTATATTTTTTAGATATAAATATCCTACAGGCATCAAATTATGCGCCAAATATCAGTTCAAAACATATAACTAAATTTTTAATAGTGTAACAATGTTTCAATATATTATTTACTTACGCTTGAAACTTTAAGTCCCAGTTTTTTTTATATTCGTTTAAGTTATGTATATTATATATATATATATATACATATATATATATATATATATATATATATATATATATATATATATATATATATATATATATATATATATATATATATATATATATATATATATATATATATATATATATATATATATATATATATATATACACACAGTGCATGTGATAAATAAAATTGCCCAGTGTAATATGTCGCGCTCGTAATACTGAAATACGTTGTTAGAAATTGGTTGCCATGGGGCCATCCATAAATTTTGCAAGTATGGGGAGGTGGTCAGTCAAAAAGTTTTTTTTTTGGAGTAGAATTAACATGCTTAATTGCGGATATTCATAATAACAGAAACGTTTTTAATTTAATTTAAAGATAAATAATAGTTTAAAAAAAAAGATTAAGAATAGTTTTTTTATTTACAAAAGATGTAAAAGAAAAATTAAAATCAATAAAGCAAAAGAACCTTAAGTTTTTAGAAAATCTTGTTGATTAAAACTTTTGATTTTTTGAAACTCAATCAAGTTTTAATTTTTAATATAAATTTTCTATTCTCATTGGGACCAAACGTTTTAAAAATAGTAAACATTCCATTCTATATGTTAGCAGTAATGGCTTCATAACTTTTCATTCATTGTTTGTACAAAATAGAAAACTGCTTTCTAATTAAAACTGAATGCGCTATTTAACTATTATCAAGTGAATAATATTTTGTATACTTGATTATATACTTAATAAATATATAATAGACTTATATAATTGCAATATATATTAGTATAAGTATATATATACTTATACAAATATAGTATATAAATAACTTATATACTGACATTTTGAGAAGGGCGCTGTGAAACTAGTGACATAACATTTTTTCTTTTGTTGTTTGTGAGCACGCTTCAAAAAAGTTTCAATTCAAAGTTATATAGCAAATATATTAGCTAAATGTATTATATATTGAAGCTTTTTTTTTTAATTTTAAGTTGCGTTTAGCTTTAACTTTTTTAATAAATAGACTTTAATGTAAGTTTAACTGATTCGAAGATACCAGTGAAAGTATTAAGTTTATTAACTTATATTTGACAAAAAATATTTGGTATTCCAACGTTTTGATATTTTTGAATTTTAAATATAAGTCTTTAATTAATAGAATGTGATTAAACCTGTACGAAATCGAAGCTTTAAGTGAAGTTTTAGTTTGATAAATTTTTTACACTAGATAATAATTTATAAGATATTTATAAATATTAAACTAGATATTTATAAATATTAAATGAGATATTTAATTTTTTTAACATTTAAGTTTGGAACTTTCATTTAAGTGTTGAAAGTTTTGATATTTTATTACATAATTTAAATTTTTGTAATTATAGTTGCGGGTGGAAGACATTGTTCAATCCATAAAAGTAAATACTTTCCTAAATTAGTACATAAAAAAACAACTTTCTAGCAATGTTTAGAGCCTGTAACAAGAAAAAAAAAATTTTTGACCCACCCTAATATATATATATATATATATATATATATATATATATATATATATATATATATATATATATATATAAATTAGTAGAAAATCACTTTTATATATAACTTTAAAATTTTAAACTTTTATATATAACTTTAAAATTGTACTTTTTCTCGCTTTCTTACAAATTGACTCCCAACAGGGTAGCAAGCAACCACTAATGGGTTATAACTAAAAAAGGGTAATAACTTTGAAGGGGCATAACTCCCTTGGTACATGAGATAAAAACTTTTATATGCATATTAATTTTTTTCAATCAAACTATTGTTTCTTACATAATCTAAATGGCGCTGAGTTGACTCTAAAAGGCGTTGTACAAGAGGTTTTTTCTTTTTAGAAAGACAATATTTTATTCTGTTACACATTTTCTCAAGATTATCCTTCCAATTATTCTCATACACTTTTAGAAAACTTCAAAAATCCTCAATTAGACAACATTCAGGCACATTTGAAGGGTTATCTTCTCTTTTGAAAAAAAAACAATTTTTTTTTCATTCATGTAGTTCTGTACAGATTTTGCGTATTGAGACGTGCCAGATCAGGCCAAAATATGTATTTACCATCAGAATGATGCTTTTTGATAAATGGAATTAGTTTGTTCTTAATACAATTATTTGTGTAGATTTCTTGGTTAATTGGAAAGCCAGTTTCTCTGAATATTGGCAAAGAGATTCCTTTATCGGTAAAGCAAATCTAAACGAGTAATTTCTTTTCATATTTTGTAATGGGGTTGAATTTGACACTTGTTGGTGTTTCAGAAACATCACTTAAATAATAAATATCATTTCCATTAGTTGAAGAATGGTTAAATGTGATGTACGACTCATTGTCAAAGATTAACAATTTATTGGCAGAAATTTGATACAGCCATTCACACTTTGTTCGAACTGTCTCTATTTTATCACAAGTTCTTAATGGAATCTTCTTCTTTTTTTTTTTGGCCTGATTAAGAACTTTGTTTTTAGTGTTTCGCTGATATATACTTGGGTGTACTTAAATTTCTGAGCTACTTGTCTTGCGGTATGCTATCTTTGTGGTCAAACATTGTTTTAAGTCTTTCGATGTTCTTTTTTGTTATTATTTTAGCAATCCTACCATTTCCAAGGACTCTCTGGTGCCCAGAACTATTTTCAGCGCATTAAATAATGGTATAAATGGTGTTAATAGAAATTTTTTTCAGCAAGAAAGTAATCAACAGTAAACTTTTCTCTTTAGATTAATTTTTCAAATAGAAGCTGTACAAACATTCTCGATGGGCTTCTTGTTTTTATTTTATTTTTCTCTGTAACAATAAATTATTTTAATTTAAAATAAAACAAGTTTTGTAGAGAATTGAAAATGCTACTAACTAGGTAAGATTGCATCCATAATTAATACAAAGTATGTTACATAGCTTTATCTTTTAAGTCATTACCGTTTTTTAGTTTTAACCCATTAATTAAGCTAAAATTTAATATAAAGCAAAAAAGAGAGTCAAAGAGTATGAAAACAGTTTACAAAAACATAAAAGAACTTTAAGCTGTATAAGCAAGGCAAACATGAGTATAGGAAAGAACTCCAAAGCTAGCAAGTCATGCGAAGTTGAGATTGATGGTACAAGAGAGGAAACTTGTTTACAGGGACTATCTTTTTCCAAATATTTCTGGAATTTTGGACATTTTTTTCAGCTTTTACTTTTTCCGGATATCCAAAATCTTTTCCATACATACAAGTTTAGGTTTATGTTTTTGTAATATATTTATTTTTGAAGTTTATTTACTCATCACTCATACAAAAATTAAGAAAGGTTTGAAAAAAAAATTGGAAACAATTATTAATTTACCCATGCAATTTTCTTAATTTTTAAAATATGACCTGGATGATCTATGTGTTTAAGAGAAAAGAGAGAAAGAGATGCAAGCTTACAATAATGGACAGAGACTCAATTTGGCAACTAAATTAGGTCCAACAACATATACAATGCATTTTGGGCTAAAAGAGAAAAACTGTCCTACATATACAGAATTTTAAGCAAAGACAAATAAGAGATTTATAAAAGTAGAGATTAGAATCATTAGTAAGAAAATTGCAAGCACATTAAGGAGAGGAAACTTTAGTAGTTAAACCCAAACAACTGAGTTTTGTTTAGGTTTAAATTTGTACAAAGCACTTTATCATCATTGCTTTTGTTTGAGACCTGGTAAGTGTGTGTAAATGTTACATTTATTGATACATTTGAAAGGTTGAGGATACCTTACTAGCTATAAATAAAAAAATTTAAAGGAAGTTGAGACAGTTCAGAAGGTTGAGGGTATTTTGCCACAAATAGATTTTCTTTAGAAACAGATGGTTAAGAGTTGGATAAAAAAAAAATTAGGAGAAAAAGACAAGTAGCTTCCTTGATATTAGTTTTTCTCCTTGTCTTGAAAACATTTAAATAAATATATATCAGAAAACTCCATCTTATTATCCATTTTTATGATCAAAGTACCATGTCCAATATGAAAATAATAACTTTGTTGTTGATATTTTTTTTAAACTATGATAATCTATATATTTAAGTTACAATGATTACCAATCATTTGATGATAAAAAATGCTTTTATATCTAATCTAAATATTACCTAAACTTTTGTAAATTTGAAATTACATGTTATGTAGGTAATATAAATTTTAATTTTCCATCACAGTTTTTCACTTTATTATCTTAATAAACAATACAAATAAATTATCTTAATAAACAATACAAATAAATTATTTTAATATATATAATTGTTATTTTATTATTATTATTATTATTATTATTATTATTATTGTTATTGTTATTATTATTATTATTATAGATTAACCAATGTTTTAATTAACTAAAAACTGTTTTTATTTTATTTTTTATTTTACGCATTTTTATTAGAGATATATCTTAATAGATATATATCTATTAAGATATTAATATTAACTAATAGATAATATCTATTAAGATATTAATATTAAATAATAGACATATAACTAATAGATATATAATATTATAATAAATATAAAATATAATAATAATAATATTAACTAATAGATATAAATCTTAATTGATAAGATTTAAGTATTTTGGATTAGATATATATTAGATATATATCTTAATAGATAAGAAGGTAGAAATAGAATCTCTATATTGTACATAATTTAGCAATGAATATTTTATAAATTTTGTATACTTACTCATATGCTCTATATGATTTTTTTAAATTTAGGATCTTTATTGGTTTCAATAATTCCAATACCTCGTATGCTTTACTCTATGTCACAAGACGGATTGTTGTTTAATTTTTTTTCTATAGTTCACCCTAAATCGCAAGTACCTGTTATATCAACTATATTATCAGGTCTTTTTATAGGTAAGCTTTAATAAATAAGTTTATAACCAAATGTTTTTTAATTTCATCAAACTTATTTTTATTTTTTCATATTCAGGTATTTTAGCTGCCATCATTGATTTAGCAGAGCTGGTTGAAATGATGTCTATTGGTACTCTTTTGGCATACAGCATTGTTGTTATATGTGTACTCATTTTGCGCTATGATTTGACTCCTCCACCAAACAATAATTATGAGAGTGAATCTTTAATTGAAAGTGAGTTTAGAATTAAAGTTAACTTTAAAAGTTTTTAAAGTTTTTTAAATTGTTAAAAAGTTATAAAACTATAAAAAATTTAAAAAAATTTAAAAGTTGAAATTTAAAACAAATTTAAAAAACTAAACAACTAATTAAAGTACAATTACCAATCAATAAAAATTGGTACAGTTGAAAAGTTGAAATGTTAAGTCTGTTAAATGTCATCAATATCTAATCAATAAAAAGATAACTGAAAAATGTGAAACCAATCAAAAAACATTTTAGATTTAATGTTGTTATAACATTTATCTCGATAACTTTGAAGTCTGCTGCACAAAAAAATAAGTGTAGCTTAGGGACATTGATCCTAGGGCTGGTAATAGGTCGAGTCTGGGTTGGGTATCAGTGGACCCGGACCCAGACTGGGTCGGGTCTGGATCCAGACCTAACCCTATCAGTTATTTCAAAAAAAATTGCGCATTTTTTTTTTAAAGACACTCTTAGAAGTCTTAAAATTGATCTAATAAATGCAACTATCATCATGGCCGCCAAGAACTGAATGGTAATTAAAGTAGTTTTTATCAGTCATCATATTGAGTGGAACGTTGTAAATAATGAAAATATTGAACAACTAAAGCATTTTGCTATTAGAAATTCCATCGTATAATGTATGGAGGAGTGATATCTATATGTATGAGGTCTTTGAAGGCCTTCGGAGCTTAAATTTATACCTGCACAACCATTCACCTAAAGCAGAAGACCTTGAAGGTTTTTTAAAATACACAAAAATACTCTTTAAAACCGCAATGTTCAACAATTGAAAAAGGATATTTGTGAAGTATTATCATGTGGGCCAAGTCATTTCTGCTTGTTTTTTGATTAAATTTGAACATATCTGTAAAAAACAGGTGAAATAAAAAAAGGTATCTAAAGAAAAATATTGGTTTTGAACCTTTTATAACTTACGTACTTTTTTAGTCTTTATCTTTGACGTAATGAAATTTTTGAAAATAAAAATAAAGCTTTTACTAGAAGATTTTTTGATGAAACGACTTTTTTTTTTAAACGATCGGGTTATATATTGTTTGTAAGCCATCATTAAATGTGAATTTTTGGGAGATGTCTCTTTGTGAAATTATAGAACAAAAAGAAATCCATTGAATATAAAACTTACAATTTTTGAATTCTTGTTACAAAAAACACTCCATAAAACCTGTTTTTATTTGTTTTATTTGTTAAAGACTTTCCAAATCGAATTTTAATTTCAAAATTAAAAGGCTTTATGACTTAAAACTTGTTTTATACTTGTTTAAGTCTTTAAAAAATTCGATTTGGGAATTGTCTTTAACTTAAAGACAATTCCCAAATTGAATTTTTTAAAGACTTAAACAATTCTTAATTAATTGTCTTTAACTTAAAGACAATTCCCAAATCGAATTTTAATTTAACTTGAAAAGTTTTTTTCTTAAAAAAATAAATAAATAAAATCAGGTTTTATAATCTTGTTTACGAAACTATTTAAATATTTCAGAAATCATAGTTGGTTTTCATCGGCATATGCCTAATATTAAGTAAAATATAATGAAAAAAGTTTATAAGAAAATTATAATAATAAAAATATATTAATTAAGAAAATGCTAGTCTGGTCTAACGGGTCTAACATTATAAGATCCATACCCGAGTAAGTAAGACCCGAGTATCTAACGGGTCTGGGTCTGGCAGGTTTCAGGTCCATAAAATGAGACCCAGACCCAGTTCCAACGGGTCGGGCCTGGGTCTAGACCTGACCCATTACCAGCCCTAATTGATCCCTAGATTAAAAAAGTAGTTTAAACTATTCCACAGGTTCACTATTTGGTTGAGTAAACTATTCCACAGGTTCACTAATTGGTTGGGGAAAAAATGTCTAAGAGTTTAGTATTGTTACCTGTTGAACACAAACTTTGTTTGAATTGATTCCTTTTTATTTTTTGTGTTTTTAATATTTATAAATAGTAATTTTTATAAAATACAATAAATATTTAAATGGCATCTTTAACAATTTTATTTGTAAAGTTAAATTAAAAACTCAAAAAATCCCAGAGGAATCTAATGCAATAATTTATTTTGGTTTAATGGTTTTTTTTATAATCATTAAACACTTGATAACATGGATATCCATACTTGATTTTTTTAAATAATTATTTTCTAATAGAGTGAAATCCATAAAACAAAATTTTAATTTAATTTTAAATATAAACAATGTTTATAACATTGTTTATAAAAATTCTTGTGCATTTAATCTTACAGAATGGCGTAAATAAGTTTAAAATAAAATGTAAATAAATAGAATTCATTATTAAGTATGGTCATGGGCATGTTTATCCAGTTCTCTGTGCCTGCATTAAAAATAAGTCTTCTTCTAATGATGCTCTTTCTCTTCTAGACAAGGTCTAAAAATGCATTGTAAATGTAGTTGGTCCTGTTCTATCTGCCAAATTTGAGCTGCTCTCTCTCCATTTTTCAAAGAACCATTTTTCAAAAAATTTGTTAAAATTTTTTGTAAAATAATTTCTAAAAATTTTGCTCTCTCTGCAACCATTTTTCAAAGCGCCTTAAAATGCTTTTCATATATTTAAAAAAAACTCAATTAAAAAAAATTTCTAAAAATTTTTTGTAAAATAATTTGAAAAAATTTTTTCATAGTTTTTCAAAAATATTTATTCAATAGCATTTTTTTTTTCAGCATCTAATTTTGCTTATTTTGTAAAAAATTCAAATTTGATTTTTTTTTACAGTAATTCATTTTAAAAAAGATATGCAGCTCTCATCAATTGAACATCTGTCAATCATTTCTATGTTCTTTAACACTAATCTTTGGTTTTTAGTAACTCCCAACTTAATAGTGATAGCTTGCAGCCCACGGGTAACTTGAAAATTACCTAAGACCTTATATCTTAATCTATAAAGTTTTTTTTTTGATTTTGAAAACAGTCCGTTGGCACATATCAAAACTATCAACATTTAAATCATGTTGCTTTTTGAGAAAACCTGTAAAACTTGTTTTAACTTAAGATTAGGTCCCCTCTGATCCACCTTCATACTTTAGTGAAGGGATCAAATAGCAATATATAGTTTGTTTGGTTGTATGACCAACTGTTTTTTTTACTGAAGGGGTTAAAGCAATTTTATAGGAATACAGTGGCTTATCCTAAAGCTTAGGATTAGAGATAAAAAATCAGAAATAAAAAGTATTTTTTCTAGAAAGGAAATATTTACTATAACAAATATTACATTTAACTAAAACTATAAAATGTATGTATTCTATAAGACACAGTGCTCGAAGTGAGGCAGGATTGGGTGTGATGCCATCCCTTAACTTTTTTTAAAGTTTATAAAACCATCCCTTTACCTTTTTTAGTGTTTATCATTAGGCGGGATGCCATCCTGGTACTAATAAATTTATCAAAATCTCATTGATGTTCATGGAATAACAACTAAACCATTGACGGTCAACATCAATCTAAGTTTTTATTTAAACTTAAAAGTAATAAATGGATAAATATAATTATAATAATAATAATATAAATTTGTATAACTATATAAAAAATATATGTATATAATTATATTATATATAATATTAATAATTATATAAAAATAGTTTAATAACAATAAAAATAAAAAAATTACTTTTAGTTTTAATTATTGCTATTTTGTAAATACTTTTATGTATTCCAACAGAAGTACAGAAATGTAGTTTTATATTCTGTATTTGTTTTTGTTCTATTTGTTATTTTATTAATATAATTATTATTTTCTTTTTAAAACAATACACTTTTATTTATACAAATAGGTTCTATTGTTCATATGAATGGGAAATAATCTGTTAGTCCAGGGCAAGCGATTTTCTAATATTTTTTACACCATTTTTTCCAAATACTTATCAACAGTTATTAGCACAAGTTTTTAATATCAAACACATCTTTTTATCAAGTTGTCTTTCCTTCTCTCTGCAAGATAATGTAAGTCACTTTTATGTATTAGGTGAACTAAGTCTTTTGAAGTTGAAATTTCTTTGGTTGATTTTTTTTGAAACACCTTTTTCTTTTGATTTAAACAGACTTTTACTTTGCAATTGTTTGTTTTCTGTTTGTAAGTAAGGTGGTGCACGTGCAAGCGGTTATATTTGATAGCAACTCTATCCTTAATTATCTCGCAATCTTTGGATTGTAGGAAAAAAAATAAGCCTTAGTAGAGAAAAAAAAATAATGAAGCAAATATTTGGAGACATAATTTAAAAATTAAAAAGAAATATTTCTTTTGAAAAAATAAAATAATAAATAAATAAGTTATTTTGATTTTTTTTTTGATTTGATTTTTTTTTTTTTGTTTTTTGTTTTTTATTTATTATTATAACTGTTATAAACATAAAACAACGTTAAAATGTTTAAAGTTATTTATTAATAAAGTTAAAAGTCATTTATCAATAATATTAAAGTAAGTTTTATTAATACTCAAGTTATTTAATTTGCACAAAATATTAATTAACAAATAATTACTTTTAGATGAAAAAAATAAATCTGCCAAAAACTGTTTTGAAGCTGGATGCAGTATGAACAACATATCCTTAGTTATCAATATTGTGGTTTTCCTCATTGTAGTTGAACTGCTTGTAATATGCATTATTGTTTCATTCTATCATAAACAAATTGCAGCAAAAAATATAACCTTTATTGTGTTTTTAGTAATTTTTATTATTGCTTTGGTTGCTACTGTAATTTATTTATTTGTAAAAGACACAACCAAAGATAATTTAGCTTTCAAAGTTCCAATGATACCATGGATACCTGTGGTTGCTTTATTTTTTAATGTGTATTTAATGTCAATGCTCAGTCAAATTACATGGATACGTTTTGGAATTTGGTTGTTTATAGGTAAATTATTTTTTAATTTGGTTTTTATATACTTTAAAATATATCCTATATAAAATATATAGCTGGAAAAACTTTAATATTTAAAGTAAGTGCTAAAGTAAAATTTGAACTTGTAGAATAAATTTGTATTAAAAGTTTTTTAATACATCATAACAAATTATTTGCTAATTTTTTGGTTTGTTTATTAGTTAAAAATCTCGAAAATAGTTTAGTTGTTTTGTAACTAGTATTTAAAAATAATTAAATGTTCTTTTTGAAAAATAAAGATTGTAACCGAAGTGTGGTAACCTTTTAATGCTTGAATACACTTTGTGTTTTCAAGAGAACATAAATTTAAAATTATAAAATCTTTATTCCAGCATTTTTTTAATGTTTGAGATAGTTAACTTCCTAATATAGAACAAACTCCAAAATTTTATATGTTTATACTATCAAAAAATGCTGGATCCGCGCCTGATATATATATATATATATATATATATATATATATATATATATATATATATATATATATATATATATATATATATATATATATATATATATATATAAATATATATATATATATATATTATATATATATATATATATATATATATATATATATATATATATATATAAATATATATATATATATATATGTATATATATATATATATATATATATATATATATATATATATATATATATATGTATATATATATATATATATATATATGTATATATATATATATATATATATATATATATATATATATATGTATATATATATATATATATTTATATATATATATATATATATATATATATATATATATATATATATATATATGTATATATATATATATATATATATATATATATATATATATATATATATATATATATATATATATATATATATATATATTAGGGTGGGTCATAAAATTTTTTTTTAGAGTTGCTAACCTGGCTATGGTCTAGAAAGTTGTTTTTTTATGTACTAATTTAGGAAAGTGTTTACTTTTATGGATTGAACAATTAGCAGGCCCTATTATTATTCAAAAAAAAAATTTTTTCAAAATTATGTAATGTAGGTACTCAAATAAAGCAAAATTTTATAAAAATTTCAAAAATATTAATTTTTTCATCTAAAAATTATTATTTTAGATTTTATTGCATAATAACTATAGTTTTTTAACTAAAAGTGAAAAAGGTGCATTTTTACATGTTTTTTAATAACAATTTTTTTCAGCAATATGATTTTTATAAAACGATTATTATTTTCGAATTTTTTATAAAATTTCGCTTCTTTTGAGTACCAGGTTGACCTACTTTTAAAAAACTTTTTTTCTCTAAAATATTCGGGTACCGGTAATTTTCCCAATAAAGTTGCGCCCTTTAAATCTATCACAATCATTCTCATATTTGATAGTATCAATATTAATAACTATTAGCAATGTTTAGAGCCTGTAACAAGAAAAGCAAATTTTATGACCCACCCTAATATATATATATATATATATATATATATATATATATATATATATATATATATATATATATATATATATATATATATATATATATATATATATATATATATATATATATATATAGTAACTTATCAAGCTTTTTCAGGAGACGCGTGCTGTCGATCGCCTTATATTACCACGCACACAATATTTTTTTTGACAATTTGGCCACGGTTTTTTTTGAATCCCGTTAACTCTGAATCTGAACGGGTATATATATTTTGTCCGAATTAGCGAATGTTCGAGTTAAGCATAGTCATAAGAAATATATAGTCTGGAAGCAAACAATAGCGCTTTGTTTATGTTTTTGTTCCAGAAATTACTAGTTCTCATTCTTCCGAAGGTGCACAGTAAACAAAAACATATTAAAGCGAAAGTATCGATCTCCTTTTTTTCTTGTTACTTTTACATTAAATTTAAACAACTGTAATTTATTTTAGTGAATTGATTACAATTTTCTTTATTATTATTTGTTCTTGCAAGCTTGGCATTGTTAAAAAAAAATTTAATCAAAATTATGCAAAATTACATTGTCCCATGTCAATAAGACGTTGTCTAATATTACTAAAAAAGTTCAAAAGTCTATAATATAAATTTTCTTCTTCAGCCTAAAAAATGACTTTAAAATAACTATGAAAATTAAAGACGAAAAAAATATACATACATACATAAATATATACATATATAAATATATATATAATATATATAATATATATATATATATATCAATATATATATATATATATATATATATTGATATATATATATATATATTGATATATATATATATATATATATATATACTATATTGATATATATATATAATATACTATATATATATATATATATTGATATATATATATATATTGATATATATATAGTAATACTATATATATTATATATATATATAGTAATATACTATATAGTATATATATATAGATATTGATATATAGTATATATATATATATATATATAATATATATATACATATTATATATAATATATATGCATATATAAATATATATTGATATATATATATATATAAATATATATATATATATATACTATATTGATATATATATATATATAGTATATGAATATATGATATATATACTGAATATATATATATATACTATATAAATATATATATACTATTATATATTATATATATATAGTATATATATATATATTGATATATATATATATATTAATATATATATATATATTGATATATAGTATATATATATATATACTATATATATATATATATATATCAATATATATATATATCAATATACTATATATATATATTGATATATATATATATATCTATATATACTATATACTATATATATACTATTATATATATATATCTATTATCATATATATATGCTATATATAATAGTATATATATGATATATATAGTACTATATACATATATAATATATATCTAATATATATAGTATATATATATATATATATAGTATATTGATATACTATATATATATGAATATATATAGTATATATATATACATATATATATATATATATATATAAATATTGATATATAGTATATTGATATATATATATATATATATATATATATATTGATATATATAATTGATATATATATATATATATTGATATATATATATAATATATACTATAGTATATATATATATTTTTTTTTTTTTTTTTTTTTAACATCTTCACTTCCAACAAGGCTGCAAGCAACCACTATAAGAGTTGGAAGTTACTGGAAGAGAAAAGACTAAATCTGTAGAGCAAGATAACGATTGACTGATGACTTAAAAGATTGCAAATTATATGAATCAGGAAAGCAAGATGAAGGAAGCGAATTCCAAAGAACTGATGTTCGAGGAAAAAAACTAGAAGAATAAGAGTTTTTGAAGCACTTAGGAACAGTCACAGAAAAAGGATGAGACTTAATTGAATGGCGAGTAACACGAGAATGAATTTTAGTAGATGGCACAAGGGACGCTAGCCTCTTTAGAGCAGTGCCCATTATAGTATTTGTAGAAAAGAGAAAGAGAAGCAACATTACGACGATGTGACAAAGGTTGGAGATTGCGCTGCCAGAGCAGGTCCAACTATGTTTACAATTCGTTTTTGCACGCTTGTCTAAAAGAGAAAGAGCATCATTAGAAGATCCGCCCCAGATGTGGCAACAGTATTCCATACAGGGACGGATTTGAGATTTATAGAGATAGAGAATAGAATCTGGAGTAAGAAAGTGTTGAGCTCGATAAAGAGATGCAACCTTAGCAGATGCTAATTTTGCAATGGATTTTGATATACGGTTTAAAAGAAAGATCAGAAGTAAGAGTTAATCCTAGAAGATGAATGGTAGATGACTCATCTAGTACATTACCATTCATAAATATAGGAAGATCTAAATTATTACGATAACGATTGGCCGAATAAAATTGAGTTTTATCTGAATTAAAGTTCACCAGCCACTGTGAGCCCCAAGCTGTAGCAGAAGTGAGATCCTTTTTCAAGCTCAGATACCCCCCTCCAAGCATTCAGAGAGTGTAAGGCTTCTTATCATGACAAGAGTAAATGGTAGTGTCCGTCAGCGAATAATGCCACCTTAGATGTGAGAATATCTGGAAGATCGTTAATGTAAATTAAAGAAGAGCTATAGGGCCAAGGATTGAACCTTGAGGAACCCCTGAAGTTACAGGATGTGAAGAAGAGTGTTGTCCATCGAGGACAACTTTTATACTACGATTGGAAAGAAAGGACTCAATAATCTTAAAAGACGTTACCAGCTACACCATAAGAAGAAAGCTTATGGAGAAGACCAGCATGCCAAACTTTATCAAAAGCTTTAGAAAATGTCAAGTGCGATAGCCTTAACCTCTCCACCTCTATCTAATGCACGGTAAAACCTATCGGTTATTACTGTTAGCACATCAGCTGTAGAACGAGAAGACCGAAATCCATATTGATGATCAGAAAGTAAGTTATTTGATTCAAGATGAGAGATTAAGTGTTTGTTGATTAAAGATTCAAAAACCTTGCTTATGACAGGAAGAAGACTAATGGGACGGTAGTTAGATGAATCAGATCGCTCTCCTCCGGAATTTTTGAAAATAGGGATATATACTATATATATAGTATATATATATATATATATATATATATAGTATATATATATATATATATATATATATAGGGATTATATATATATATATATATATATATATATATATAGGGATATATATAGTATATATATATATATATATAGTATATATATATACTATATATATATATATAGTACTATATATATATTATAGGGATATATATATATATATATATATATACTATATATATAGTATATATTGATATATATATTGATATATATATATATATTGATATATATATATATAATATATATATATATATATATATATATATTATATATATATATATATATATATATATTGATATATATATTGATATATATATATATATATTGATATATAATAGTATATATATATATATATATATATATATACTATATATCAAGTCATAATATATATATAGTATATATTATATATATATTTATATATATATATATCAATATATATTTTATATATGCATATATATATATATGTATACTATATATTAATATATATATATATATAGTATATATATATATATATATATATATATATATATATATATATATATATCCTTATAGTGTAATCGAAAGAGACAAAAAAGTCTCTTTCGACTACAATTTTTTTACCTCGTCTCTTAAGTTGCAATTTATTGTAATCGAAATGTCAAAGCAATTAAATTAATGCGGAAGTACATTAAATTTTATTGGTTTTTAAAAAAATCGCAATAATAACGAGTAGAAAGTTTTTTTTTAATTAGTGGTGCTTTTTGTTTTTGTTTTATT